AGTGGGACGGAAACGTAGCAACTATTTATGGAAGCAGAAACAAGCTTCTCCTTCGTTTCCTCGAGCTTTCGCGTGATTAAGATGAATTTCTATCTGCATGCATGTGTTTGTGTGTGGGTATAGCTTGCCTGACCGAAAGCTGTATAAGTAATCCAATTTAAGTGTGAGGCTACCCTGTGTGAGTCATTCACGTATTCTGTGCACACTGCCTGACTTTAAACTGAATTAATGGTGTTTTGTTCTGTTTCTTCTGTAAGGTGAGAAGCCACATCAGATGAAGGTCTTAACAGTTCATAGGGATCACTATTGGTTATTCGCCCCACAGAGCATCATCAACATAATGTCAAACCACAGGCATACAAACGCCAGCTATTTTAGGGTAGGTGTTGTTTGTTTCCCTATTGTTGCCATTTCAATAAGCTCAATAAAGTGTCTGTCTATGTTTGCAAAGATGCCATGTCTGGAACAAAAGCAAACAGTGGGGCAGATGTTCCTGATGAGCAAAACATGGCCGGGGAAGACGCGATCATTCAGCTTGTATCGGGTGAAGCGAATGTGTTATACGCTTACATAATCCAGGGGGAGCGTGAATCGACTACTCCCTCTGTCTATATAAAAAAAATGAGCCGGGCAGGCGCAGGTCGACTGTTTTGAACATGAACGTCGTGTTTCCATAAAAAAAAATCTGTGCATCTTCACATGTCCAGAATGCACAACGGTGGTCTTTGTGAGGCTGCTGCTCATCAGCGGGCAGCCTTCTGCGTTGTGCAGCTCTGCTGCTGCAGGGGTCTTTTCAGTGCATGGAACCGGATGGTGAGCAGAGAACACAGCGGGGGCTGGGCACCGCAATGTACTGCAGTGCTCGTAGCTCTGCGATGCACACCCACTCTCTTCCATTCTTGCTCTGCCTCTGACAATATCTCAATCTCTCGCTCTATCTCTCGCCCATGCTTGGGTTGCTTGTCTTACATTCCCCCCTCCACTTTCCTCTCATTGCTTTTGTACGTTTCAAGGCCATTTTTCTCCTCACCCTTAAAGCTGCCTGTAATCCAGGTGTCCAACACCGTCTCTTACATTCTTCATTGAAACTACCCCTGCCCTCTGTCACTTACATGCACACTTACATGCACACTTAGAAACAAAACAAAAAAAACGCATAAATGCAGTATGATAAAGTGCCCTTTTCCTGGTTATGGAGAAGACGAAGACACACACACACACACACACTGTTATTCAGACGCATCACTGTATTTATCACGGTGTCATTCTAGTATCACCAACAGATTCTGCTCACCTTAAACATCTGCAACGTTTCATCTGCACAAGGTGTAACACTATTTTACAGTAGCTCTTCTCATCCCAATATGCAGAGTTGGGGGATTGTTGCTAACTGTAGTATGTCACAGCGACAGCCGCTGTTGCTCCGCTATGTGGCTTATACACCATCATTTACAGGGGCTCACTAAACACCCATGTCGCACAGCCTGGGACAGTGGGTGTCATACGCGCAGGATGAGCAATGACAAGCCTAGCAGCTGCTCCCTTCCCCAGAAAACTCCACAAATCTTCGAAAGAGTTACAGTACATAATTCATATAGATACATAAGAACAGAAAAGGGCAACTTGAGTTTCCCAACAGCAATCCCAATCCAGCATTTACTGAAGTACATTCTTGCACATGGCCAGGACTGTTTATGTAGTGAGGCTGAAATGCCGGGTTGAAGACGCTGCTTAAATTATACTTAGGTTTGAGTAAATCACAGCATACAGGTCTGTGTGTTCAAACTAGTCTTTCTATCTCATTAGGATTGGTTAATCTCCTCCATCTCTGACACTCGCTTCCATCTTAAAGAGGGACGCTGGCTCATTCTTATGAACATTGAGGGGTCTCATTTCCATTTGCCATTAAAGAGCAGAGGTTTCTAATCATTGCTACCCGAATGAGTTTCTCAGTATGTCGGCTGCATCCTGCAGAGACACTTTCCTGCTCGCTCTCAACCATGATGTGAAACAAAGCTTTGTGTGACAGCGGGTGTCAGAACTATAACGGCGGCAGCCAACACATGTTTTACATTTTTCTTTTCAATGACTTAACGTGACACCGCTGCCTTTCAGCGCCTCCTCAATTATTTTTAAATTGATTTCTTGGAGACGTAATGACTTGCAGGCCAGCATCGGCGGACCAAATGTATAATTCCTGTCCTTTTAATAACATCATCCTCTTGATTTTGTATTGCCACCCAAATAGACCCGTGTAATAAGGTGTCAAACCCCAATGGTTTTGCTGCAGCAGTCAATTTCATGCCACAGTTGAATGTGCCTCTCGGAGCTTTGCAATGAAAAGGAAGATGGAACAAAACCATAGCAGTGACACTCCCACCTGGAGCATATAATGGTAATACAGGTAGACAACTACAGGAAGGAAATTCTCTCAATTTTTTCTAAGGAAACAGCTAGGAACTGAGTTTTCAGCACCTCTGCCAAAACATAGTTCTGTTTAAGATGGACTGTGTTCTAGAAAAGGAGAGGTGCATGAATAATTAAAAGTGTTTTCAACTGAAAAGGCAAAAGAACAGATGTGCACAGCCAACTGCCAGCCTGTCGTATCAAATAGGGACTTTGAAATGTGTACAGCCAGACAATTTATCAGGTCATCTAAACAGACATTTTTAGTAGAATTAGCTTTGCTTTTAACTCTCATCCAATCCTCTCTACGAAACACTGGTGTGCTTCACACAATAGGAGGGAAGCTCTGTCCATGGTGCTGAAATGACTTACATTTCCTTCTCAGCCCTGCTCCTTATCCCCCAATATGACTCGGTGTTGAATAATTTAAACATGATTTAAAACCTGTAACAAGGATTAGTGAATCCATGATTGTCTTGCGCTTATATCTACTATGTGAGGGTGAAAGGTATTTCGCCTAACTGCTTCGTAATATGAAAACGCCAGCACATACTGTACTCCTCATCCTGTCTAACGGTGTTTTTACAGTGTGCCCACACAAAATACACTTAAGTCTTTCCATTATTTCCTCCCATTGTGCAGCAGGCCAGTGCTCACAGACATTTTGTACAGAGAAAACACGCACTGCCCACTGCTGGACGGTATCATATCTTCATTCACAAATGAAGGTCAGACTTCCAAAGTAAGATGGTGGGATATATTAAATGAACTGTGAATGTGGTAAAAGAAAGCCGATAATGAATGCTTACTTGAAAACAAAAACAAAAAAAAACATGCGTTAGTATGAATCAGCTGTCTTTCACTGTAAAAAAAAAAAAAAAAAACCCTTTCGTTTGTTTGAGCTTATTTTACAATAATGATGAACCATATGTTCAGAGTATAAATACTCCAGTGAGGGTAAACTATTTTTTTTCCCATGCCTTTGGTACACTGTAGTCAGTAAGCCTGGTGCGTCCAATCAGAGAGCCTACTTTTGCTGCAGGCTCAGACTAAAGGAAGTCCCAGAACACCGGATAAACAAAACTAAAACTCATCACCAGGCTCAAACGCTATCGGAGCTCATTCGATCTGTTATCCGAGTAACCCCAAATGATACCCGGAATACACAGGCACGACAACACTAAAATGGGCTGCAGCAGCGTCTTTTGGCACACTGATCTTATCAGAGAGCAGTGGATTTACAGTATAGGGGGCAAAACTTTACTTTTTATCCCATCGAGGGAACACAAACAAGTTTAAACGGTGATAGTCATCATACAGAGATGCATCGTTCTGCCTTACAGAGGCTGGATGCTGAGGCAGCTCCACTCAGGGATGTAATGGGATACTGCAGCACTAGAGAACCGTGTGCACAGAAACTTGCCTAGAAGCATCAGGGAGTCCCGCACCAACCTCCCCCCTCCCTCCGTATCTCTCTATCTCTCTGCCTCCCCCACTCTGCTTTTCTGTGAAGTCTTTATAATGTCAAAAAATATATAATACAAGTATTGTGTAGATATCTCAATGTGAAAGATGGCAGATAAGCCGGAACATACCCACAAAAAACACAAAAAACTACTTCAGAAGTGTAAAAAAAACCAGCATGCTTGTAGTAGTAGGAGAACGTAGCTGCTTACCTTTTGTGCAGGTTGCTCTCCGCCGGTCACCGTGCTCTTCCCCTTCTCCACAGGCTCCGAGACACTTTGAGATAGAGAGAAAAATAATCAATCTTCTCTTACTTTCTCTTATTTCCAGTTTCAGAATGAATAAGTCAGGAGTCTATCACAGCCCTCTGGACACACCTTTACCCTGTCCTCGTGTAAACTCTGCCACATGTGCACACACAGACACCCATTCAAATGCACCCCAAGACTGGAGTACACAAATTGATAAAGATCTGCTCAGGGGAGGGATGAAAAAACTACACACACTCACACACCGCAGTTTTTTTTTTTTCCTCCTTCCTCTTGCCCACTCGCTCTGCCGCTTTTTTCCTGCTGTCTTTGCCTGCACTGCCTCCTGATTGGCTCAGCAGCTCTTCAATAACATAAGCTCTCTTCTTTAATTGGAGGGGGGCCAGTTGTGCGGTGCACCAGAAACCCTCCCGCCCAGCTCATCTCTCTTTATACCCCCCCCCCCTCTCATAAGTGCCCGTAGAGAAGAATGCTGAGCTCTGCAATTTCATACGCATCGAGCAAAGAGAAAAAAAAAAAAGGAATGGAGGGCAGAGGGGGGAGGGGGTGGGAGAGAAAAAGGAGTGAGAGTGGGAATGGGGGAGAGCATCAGCGGCGAAACCAGTGTACCGCAGTGGGACAAGCAGAAGCTGCATGGGAACAAAGACGGAGGGGATATTAGATGGGGTGAGGGCAGATTTTGGATTTGCACAGTCCAACCAGCCGCAGCACGCTGAGGGTGAGACAGCAGGTCGGATATTGAGGGAGATTTCCCCGCACTCACTGCAGCGCAGCTCGGTGGCTCTGCTGCAGTGTGGAGTCTAATTGCCAGTCAAAGAAGGGGGATGGGGAGGGAGGATGAGGAAGAGGAGGAGGAGGAGGAGTAGGAGAGGGGGTTGGTTGCAGTGATGCTGAAGTACAGTCATCCAGCCAACCATGGATATATATGAGGGAAATGGGCAGGCAGCCGCAGTGTACAGCAGTAAATGCCTTTTCCTCATGAATTATTGAAGGTGCCCCAAAGGAGAGTGGGAGGGTCGTAGACGGCAAACTACTGAGCCTGTTCAGAGTCTCATTCCTACTGAGGTTTATGATAATTATTCACACCTGAAGTGCAGGTCGTCGAATCCTTAAATGAAGCCCCCCTTCAATTAGATTATTTAAACCAACTAATGCTTTGAATCGAGATTGTGCAGTATCAGCTCTCTGCTTCCCACTTCAGTGTTGAAAGGCTTTGCCATGCCGGGAGAAAATGGATGTGGGATTGACTTTGTGGTGTCAGGTTCCTCTCCACTCTCTTTCTGTGACTCACATCTGGTACCGCCGATGTGTCCCAGCTGCACCGGAGTACAATACCCGAGCAGATCAATAATGGATCACACAATACCTCAACCATCTACAGAGACTACAATGAGCACTCTAAAAGTTATAGGATATCCATAAAGAAACGCAAATACACTGTTTGCTCAATCAAGGACATGAGTGCCTGTTGGACAAATGAGCAAATACAGAGACGCCCGATATTATAGGCTCAATATCCTGGTGTAAAATACCATGTGACGAGAAGGGACAGGTGAACAAATCCCAGTATCATCTGGAGTTAGCGACAAATTTAGATCAGCGTGTTGCGGAAGCGGCCCTCATCTTATCAAATAGCTGAAAAATAGTGATTGCGGAATAACAGATTATCAGTAGAAATGTGTCCTCATGAGAGATTGGCTTATTTTTTTGTGCAAAAAAAGACAGTTTATTTTTGTTTCAATGAACAAGATAATACAGAAACGGGTGCATACTTGTAATGACAATAAATGAGCTTTTCCGTCAGTCATCTGCGCATGTTTTCTCTCTTCACTGTGGTCTCTTCTTTCTCAGGGAGGCTGTAGACGGTGACGGAGATGTTTGTGCGTTTGAAGACCTGTTCCAGTATCTCTGACACTTCACTCCACTGCAGTCCATCCATGCCACAACCAATACTGTCAGAAAGAGAAGAGCAAACACAAATATGGTCACATCTGCGATGCATTCATTCATTGAGCAAATTAGTATTTCTCCCTTGAACCTGGTTTGATTAAGTATCACCAAATGACCGGAAATGATACGAACCGAGGCATTGATATTCTTGTTACTCCGTTCACCACGCAGTGCGACTTCATATCCTCAAGGCTCTGTGTCAGGCTGTCATAGGTGGGCTTTTGTCTGGCCTTTTTCTTTGTGATCTGCATTGAAATTACAGGAAAGCATTCATATAAACTGCAATATTAATGTTACATTGAGAGTTTGTATAGGAATCAATTCTAATCTTTACCAGATAGTAGATAAAACGTCTGTCTCTTCTTAACACGGCACACTGTCCTGTCAGCTTTTCTGTAAGGAGATTTAAAAAAGAAGATAGTATTCACATCAGAATAAGACACAATACAAGCTCCAAAAGCCCTTAAACCGCACTGACTCAATGGCAGACAAGTCATTACAAAAATCAATGCTGTGCAGGAAAAACGTGCAACTGTTTACTTTACAGTTTAGTGACTTGAGATCCTTCAGTTTCCAAAGAGAACAAATATTTTGAAAAAAAGAAAATGTGACAAATGCTTAAGACATTCAGAATATGTTCATATATTCTGATGGTGCAGCCATAAAAGCATCAAAGTGTGATACAGAATATACAGTATATGTGATATTATGAAGCTTTTATTAGCTAAAAACAAAGCCAGGTGTCTCTGTGCTGAACAAAAAGATCGTGTTGAAATCAATGAGCCCAGAATAAAACATTTCCACTCCTGCTGAATTTTTTATTAAAAAGGGCCGACTCACTCTGTTCCTTTAACTCGTCTACCCCTTTGAACTTCTCCTTGAACGCCACCGCTATGCCTGCCCCCATGCGGCAGTCCTCGCTGATGCAGTGGGCCAAAGCCTCGTCCTTGGGGCACGAGAACAGGTTCCCACTGAGATATTTCAGTCTCCAGCTGTTTTCTGCAGCCTAGCCAGGAGGGGGCAGCATTGCAACGCGTGATGAAGCAGAACGACAGAACAAGAAATAAACACTGGTGTGTGGTGTATGTCAACACCAACCATTTTAGCGCACGTAAAACCAAGACAGAATTTTGTGTCCCCCCCCCCTCCGAGTGTAAGCTTTACCTTAATGTTGACAGGTTTCTCAGGTGGAGACGACATTGACAACAGTGATTATCGCACTTGAGCAGTGAGTTAATTTGCTGTCTTGAACACACATTAAAGCAACTGCTAGAAGACTTGTGAGCGAGCTTTTCATGCGACAGGAAAGTGTCTCTTTTAGCTTCCAACCCGGTATTTGCAGGTGGCCGTTTTAATGGTAAATAAAGGCACTTTCGGTATGCTCTTTAGCTCAGTGGACTAGTCACGAAGCAGCAACAGGAAGCAGCTTTCAGTCTTCTCGCGAGAAAGGGGCGGCACCTTGTGAATAAATCCACGTTTACGGATGATATTCTGCACAAACATTATATATTAACACCAGAATTGAACTACCTATTTGTAAAAATACTTATAATTTCTTTAGTTAAAAATCGTGAAATTATCTTTATTCAATTTTGATATTTTTCATCAAGTTGTAGTTTCCAAATGTAGGTTGTCTTTGCATGACATTTTATTGTTCTCAATTCTAAAGCTAGTGCGTTGCTTACTTAATGGAATACATAAGATTTCCATCAAACAAAACAGGCAGTGTAAAATAAGAATTTATTTGTTGTTTTTAAAGATCCTTCAAAACCTCATATATGTGATTATTTATTCATTTTTATTAGATGTCTATTCAGGTTCAAGTTGCCAAGATGGGAATAACATTATGTCACCAAACTGGGTGAAGATGAATGTCATGACAAATCAGCTCCGAGTCAAACTGTGTATGGTCCAAAAATCCCACTTGAATGATGACTGGACATGTGATCTTAAGGCTGCTAATAATCTCTTGGCAGGAATCATTTTCCATATTATTCTCATTTGTTTCGCAAAAATAAACTGACCACTTTCAAAGCATGAGTTTAGTATTTTAGATACATTTCCTGTCTACAAACCTGTGCTTTCCATTAATATCAGTATAGAACAATCCCTGTACAGAGATTTCACAATAAACTACAGTGAACATTTGTCAAAGAGAGCATCCCTGACTGCACCAAGAAAAACGTTTTCAAAATTGTTCCTGCTTACAACTTGGCATCAGTTTGACAAAGATACAAAACAAATGTAATGATTTGTGAAATGTTTTACTGATGTGTTTCATTCATTTTCTATAGAATCAGAATCAGAATCAGCTTTATTGGAATTTGACTCCGGTTACACATTGCTTCCCATCGTGCATACATAGAATATATAATAAACAAGAGAAACATAAAAAGGGCTTTCATTTTGAAATGCTACATCAGAATGTCCTGGTTCTCTCTGAGTGTCACCTTGAGGTGGTCTGCTATTAACCTGTAGTGAAATGATTTTGTAACTATGCACCATTTCCTCTAAAATCTAAATCGTATATGACAGCATACAGAACAATGCCAGGGTGACTGTGGTGTCGTCTTTTACATACAAACAGCAACATACATACACAAATTACAACATGATTGGTAACACATGAATGATGTGTGTATGCGACAGATTGACGGTCCACGTTCCAGCCTAAGAAGTCAGCTGCGTCTCTGCTCGTTGATCCATTCCCCGGGGTTGACGTCCATCTGCAGCATCTTCATCACCCACTTGTCCCTCCGTGCTCCATCGATGAACTCGTCCAACGAGAGCTCCCCTATGAACACCCCACAAAGCCATTACAGCAGCCTGACACAGAGCTTTTGAATCATTCATGAAGCATTTTAAACTGCAAACACTCACCATCTCCATTTTCATCAACCAGCTCAAATATCCGGTCAACCACTTGGTCTGGGGTCAGTAGATTGCATTCTTCATCCAGCTCTCCGTGGCAGGCTTTCTTCAGTCGATAAATAGACTGAGAGTGACAGGAAAGTAAGTTACAACCACTCTTGCTCTGACCGCGTTTCATTACAGCGCACTGATTTATGTTGAAATGTTCTTTAAAATGTTTTGAAAGCTTCACAGATCGATAGTTGCACATCGTTACTGTATGACAGTAAATATTACCTCCACAATTTCAAGAAGCTCTGTTTTATCAATGCATCCGCTGCCATCTTTATCATACATTTTGAATGTCCATTTAAGCTTATGTTCCAGTTTACCCCTCAGGACTAAGTTCAAGGCTGCCACGTACTCCAGAAAATCAATGGTGTTGTCCTGTGTACATGAAGAGAGAGCGTTAACATTTAATGAAGCCAAATGTTTCTGTGCTTAGCCGAGCAAAAGGATTAAATATAAATAGGGCTCCTAATAGATACAACAATAAAACAAGAATATGCAGGGCCACAGCTAAGGTTTTATTTTTAACATTATCTGTACTGGGTTTGTAGCTGAATAGCCCGAGGGCTGAATCATGCATCAATGTTCAAGAATGTAATAATTAAGGATTATTTTCTGCCAATTATTTTTTTAATTAACTGTTTAGACTTCGACTTATGCCCGTTGCAATATCCCAGGGCCCAAGTTGACATATTCAAATGTCTGCTATTCAGATAAAACACTCAATTTAACTTTCATGGAAGACGATAGAAATCTGCAAATATTCACATTTCAGGAGCTGGAACCTGTACTTTTATGTCCCTTTTGCCTTACTTACCCAATTAATCAACAATTAAAATATTTACCGATTCATTTTCTGTTGACCGACTAATAGAATATCAACTCTCGCTCTACAAACATGTGCTCAGTAATGGGCATTAACAGATATGACCAATCATGTTTGTAAATTGGACTGTTTCCAATCAACAAATGTTCACTATTAGTTCTAATAATATAATATACAAGTCTTACACTTCCACACAACTGCGAGTTTGTACTTACGCCGTTCTTGTCAAAGGCTCGAAACATGTTTTCAATGTAATCTGCGGCCTCCTTGTTATCAGCAACGCCAAAAAATCCCTTGAACTCATGCATGAAGAGAGTTCCACTTGGGCACTCCACAACAAATTTTTTGTACCAGTCCTGCAGCTCTGCCACATCGATTTCCTTGTCTGGGTCACTCTCCTCGCTCAGGCGCTGACCCATTGTGGAAATCTTCCCTTCAGCTCCCTAAAAACTAAAAATGCTCTCTCACATTACATGTAAGCTGGGTAACTCTTTTAAAGCTTCCCTCTACATTACAAAAGTCAGTCGAGCCGATTACTAATCGAGCCGATTACTGCAACGATCTTTGTGCAAATCGAAAAGGACAAATTGATCAAAATGGCATGAATGTCCATATATGCTGAACTGTTTTTGGGCTCCCTATTGTTGCGACTCCCTCTCTGAGAGTCAGGATGAGACATGATAAGGGATTAGAAATGGACACTAAATCACTTAGTTCACAAATAGATCATGATAGGATTTCCTTGTGGCACTGTGTCTACCTCTCCTAGGACGGACATCCGTTAGCTTTGTAGAAACATACACTAATCATAAGCTTAAAGTACCTATATGGTTTAATGGACTTTTCATCAACAATGTAATTATTATATGAATAAATGTTTGCATGACTTACATCTACTCACATGTGTTAAAGGTAAAACATGCAAAGGTAAACTCTAACTAATAGGAAGTGCCCAATTAAGTGATATGACATTTTACGCATCAAGGTCAGTTTACAATCAGAGAGGGTCTAATGAAAAGATGTTTTTAGTTGCATTCTGGGAAATGTAGGATTCAGCATTTCTGGTAGAGCTTGACCCATTCTAGCAAATATAAATCAGGATATCTCATGCACTGCTGTTTAGATACGGACAATTATTTATGAATCTGTCTCTTCTGAGTCCCCAAACTTTATGAAAGTGGAATACTAAATTGCTGACGTACTCCTTTAAGTAAGTTTCCTGGTATTGGAAGTTGCTGACCAGTCACCTGATGATTCACACAGGCCCAATGCTTAGTTATCCCTGACAGCGCTGACCTTCAGAAGCCATGTTATTTACTGCTCCCCTGATTACTGTTTGCATGCCTGCTCCAGTCTGACTAAAGCCTATAATAAATGTGTTGTAGCTAAATTCACTAATGATGGACATTACAATTTAGGCGTCAAGAGGGAAATTTGGGAAATGGGTGGAAACATCTGCCAAGCTTTTGGCCTTGTTTCAGTATTAGGCAGTGGAGTAGTTTATGGAAAAAGTGGTAATAACTGCATGTTTTCAACAGATTAAGAGTGTCAGTTAATGGTAACTGTAGCCATTATTTACAGGTGGAGGCTTTGCCCAATACTTCCCTGTGCTGACAACAGGGGATAGTGATAATCATAGCTTAGAAGTGTCAAGGCCACCTGAGGTGTCACTGGAGGTTATCCTCACGATTAAAAGATTCGCACATTCTGTTCTTATACAAGAGACATTTTAAATACCCACCCATATTTACCTTCATCCAATCATTTTATATATTACGTTGCACTCTAGTTTAAGACCCACCATTTCTGTACCCGTGACTGGCCTGCATCGACAGGACTGGTCCCAAGTTACTGTCACTCCAGTGTCATCTCTATATCACGGGTACTATTTTGGCTTCGTCATGTAGACTGGCAGCTATGTGAGGCTGTGCTTGAGCTAAATGCTTGCAGTGATAATGGCAGCATGTTGATGCTCAGCAGCTCTAATTTTTTTACCATGTTCACCAGCCGTCTTGGTTTAGCATTCAAGCGTGCAAACATTTGCCAATTAGCACCAAACATTAAGTTCAGCTGAGGAATGCCATAAATTAGTTTCAGAGGTGTACCGTCTCGAAATGAGTCTTGAATTTCTGTGGGTTGTGGAATCACCCGTATAGCTATTGATGGGTGACACCTCGAGTGTGGCTAAAAGGGTGATCCCCCATAATGCAGTGGCCCTCATTGTTCTACAGATATACAAGTGAAAAGATATTAACTGAGCATGTTACACTTTACATTTTCAGCATTTATTGCTTTCCATGAATACTAGGATACAAGCTCAAGCATTCAGTTTCCAGCTATTATCAGTTCTATGAAGGCAGTGGACAAGTATTACAAGTCTACAAAAACCGATTTACAGATGCGTACTGTAAAAATTCAAGCTATCAAAAAGGGACATTTGTACAACTAAGGTATGACATACAGAAAGTGTAAAAGTACCTTGTGTTCTTTTGACAGATTTTGATGCAGAAATGGCTTCCAGTGAGCCAAACTAATATTCAATTCAACCAAACTGGTTACTACTGGCAATAATGTGTGTTAATATTGGCTTCATACAGTGACAAAGCAAAACGTGGACATATTCCACATCCTTCAAAGGGTTAAATGCAAACAAGTGCAGTATGTTTATAAGAAATACATTATAAGCTATGTCCAACAGAAGTGTCTTCACATTCTTATTGGAATGTGTCCTCATTCAACAGGAGAGAAGCACAATCATCAGAAAATGGTAAAAGCAACTACGCTTGGGTCAAAACAACTCAAACTGTCAAGTGTATCTTTTGGGAAATGCATGCCAAATGACTTAAGAATAAGGAAATTACTGAATACATCAGTTATCAAGTTATCAAGGTTAAATTATAACGTTCATATAAAAATCTGGAAAAAAAAAGGTTAGAAAAATGTTTAGAAAAACAGTGTAAAAAGCTGAGTCTCCATAATCTTTGAATCTTTTCCTTCCAGTTTAGACCAGGTGATGTGTGGAGTTGAGTTGAAATTGAAGAGGACAAAAGATCCTCCTGTGAGGAATCTCAAGGTTCACATCGCTCCTGGTCCTGAAGTCCAGAGGTCCACAGTGCTACAGATCTACCCTCAATATGGTATCATACAGTGTAAAAAACTAAAATCAGTTTGCAGACTGGGCTTCAAGATAGTCATGTTCCCCAGGCTCTAGCGCAGTCTTTGTGCTGTTTGAAGTGTCAGCGTCGCCCTCTGTTGACAAGTCATGTGAACTACCAGTAGAGGGGATCTGCTTGTCGCTGGGTAGGCCTTCTCCGTCACTGCTGCTGCTGCTGCTGCTGCTGCTGCTGCTGCTGCTGCTGCTGCTCTCCCCGTTCTCCTGCTCAACGCTTGTACTCTTCTCTGATGGAGCAGGCTGCTCAGCTTGATCCACAGTGCTGTCCTTCTCCAGACTCTGGACATCCCCCCGCTCAGACAAGTCCTCATCCCTTTCAGATGGTTCCGTCTGTGTGCGACTAAGCTCTGAGGACCAACGTAGACAACATTAACGCTGCGACTAACCATTATTTTCATTATCAACACATCTGTTTAATCGTTTGTTAATAAAATGTCTGAAAATGGTGTAAAATGCCAATTACAAATTGATACATTCTGAATTAACAAACTTTGGTTTGTGGTTGTTAACTAATAAATGTATTATCTATAATATAGTCAGCACTGCACTTCTATAACATTGTCAAAACTGACGATAGGAAATAGTCTCAAAGGATCAAAATTGATGCCGCTGAACATAAATTTGTTTTGTTATATACAATGCACTCTTCTCTCTGGTAGAACCCTGGCGCCTACATTACCCACAATGCTACCTGACTGCAAAAACAGACAAATGAAGGCACCCCGCATAGCTAGAGTGCTGGTTCTGAAACACTTTAATACGTCAGCCTAAGTGAAGATGAGTTCACTCTTACCATGATCCTCTGCAGCAGAACGTGCGTCACCAGTGGCTCCGCCTTTGTACTCTTGACCACAAGAGTCTTCTGAAGACCGCGGCGTCTCTGGCGAGCTCTCTGACCCTTTACTACAAGACGACTCATTTTCTTCACTTCCTGTGTCATCCTCTTCTTTCTCGTCAAACTTGAGCCTCTTGACCTCGTGCTTGCCAGTCTCAGAATCCTCCTCTTCCTCTGCAGGGTGTTTGTTCTTTATCCCGCTGTTTGGAGTAATTTCACCCTCTGCTGGCGAGGAATCACTGCAGGAGTGAAAGAAACACAGAGAATCAGCTCATCAAATGGTAAACTTTTAGATGAAAGTAAAAAGGTAACAGTAGCTCATATATATTCATTTTAAAGAAGGAGAGATTATGCTGCTAATGGAGGAAATCTTAGGACGTGACAGATATCAGTGCCCCTGCATTTTAAATACAAATATTGAGTAGACTCATTCAGTATACTACACACTCACTCACAGTGCCACACATCAGTCTCACGCATTTCAATTACCCGATATGGTGCTCCTCCACCTCCTCTGTGATTGGCTCTGGATCTTTACGGACTGCGCAGTCAGGGAGCCCGTTGGTGGAAAGCGAAGCTGACAATGACAACTTCGGTCTGTTGAGCGGTTTTGGTGTGTCGGGTCCATTTGCATTTCGGCTGCAAAAAAAAAAGGAAACAACGACTTGTTATCCAAGTCATATCACAAGATGGTAAAATCAGCACAACTACTAAAACCCAACTGAGAGGCAAGAGATAACTGCCCTTACTGTAGCCTTGTTGTATTTTGGATATTTGCCTTTACACTAACTGAACTTTCCACTTGGTGGTGTACGAGGCTATTTTAGATTTGTGGAAGTCAAACACTGACAAGTATGTGGCTCCCACCTGTCTGAATATAGAGAAGAGTTACCAGGAAACATCACTCCATTCATTCTGTTTACACTGGATGCCCCATTTTTCCTTCGAAAGAAGTAGAAAGGCACAAAACATCTGGCTGTTAATTGTAACTTTGTAAAGTGTGTCTGAAGAAGCAAAATCAAGGGAGCTGTCAATGTGCATCAGAAGCAGCTGAAGAGAAATACTGCAGCCAGCAGAGCAAGGGGAGCAAAAGCTTAACAGCTGTTGTACTTACTCTGACGTGGGGTACACACAGCTGACCACCATTACATTCTGCAATACATCAACAATAATACATATTACAATTAAATTTAAAGCCTTGGAAAGTATATTTTAAAACAATACTCATCAATATAGTTTGTCTTGAGTGAAAACATTTACATGCAGTTAGAAAGCAGTGCTCACCTTCTCTAAACCCATGAGAAACTTATCTGTTCCTGTGTAGTTGCGCTTGGGGTCCGTGAGGAGTTCACATAGACGCTGGATGGTGAATGGGATTCTGGAAAAGTTATCAAGAGATATATTTTAGGATTAGCCACACATATCCATCTCACAGCCAGCAGCAACACCTGCCAAACCTGGCAGCACTTGAGCCGAATGAGGACAAAAAAAACAAACGTGGATCAATCTGAACAGAACTGGTCATCCATCGTCACAGCTGGTCACACGTTCTGACATCATTACTCATGATCGTTCGTCAACATGCTTCTTAAATTCAAGGAAAAAGTTTACACAGTAATATGTCTTAATGTTAAAATCCTAAATTTAGATCGGTCTGACTGATGCACCAAGGGAAAGAGCGGTTGTTTCCTGTTTTGTTTTGTTGTTTGAGGCTACTTAAGCAAAATAGATAGTTGACTTTGGGTGTGAAAGACATCTATGTGGAAATTCAAGACGAGATGTCCAGGGTTGATGATAAAAGGCTTCACTCACCCATCGTAACCATCCACTATTTTTAAGATCCTCGTCTTCATCTCCTCGAAGGGAACATACTCCACATTGGGATTATGTGTCGCTCTCTGTTCTGGTGTTGAAGCGTGGAAATCATCCATGACTTTTTCCAACTTAAACACAAAGTATGTCTTCAACTGTGACCACGAGATCCTGGAAGATATTGGAAATGCAAGTCTGCACATCACACACACAAAATATTTAAAAGCCTTGGAATACATTTTTAGAGTAATTAAAAAACAAAGTTCACCACGCAGGCTTCAATTACAGGAAAACTGTAACTGTCTCCATTTCTGTGTGTGAAGATTTATAGGAGTTTACGCTTAATGCTTTGCGTGAGCCCGAGAGGACTACTCACATTGGCAGGCCTGTCTTGGCAACATGACACAAGAATTGCTCTAGTTCAGGACAGGTCTCTTTCTTGCCTGTCTTCTCAAAATCTGTAAATTCCCAAATGAAATACAAAAAAAAATTAGTTTATTGGTAATAACGTCAATCCAAACAGCACACAAAGTGATCTGACCCAGACCGAACCAAACAATGTTTGTCCCTGCATTAACCATAACCTGGAATTTAAACTTTCCAAACAACCCACAAACATATTTGACCATTAGATAACAATGTATTCTGGAGAGATGTTAAATCTTCTGCCACATTAACTGTACACTGACAATGATCAAACTGTTGTTAAGAGTCAATTATCAGCTGTATCAAGTGGAAATATGCTAAATAGACACATTAATAAATGAAACACCGCAGCATAACATCATAAAACACCAATTCCAGTTAACTAGCTGCGAAAGTTCTTGTAAAAGTTCATAAATTAGCATGTTTATTGTGATGCTATCCAGCTAGCGTTAGCTGTTTACATAATCTCCAACTGTCAGTACGGGAATAAATGGGTCAAATGTGACGAACTTCCTTCTTGTAGAGAATAACATTGAACTATCGAGATCAGATTGTCCATATGTGCCTCTTCTAAACACACTAGGTTGATATTTGTTGGTAAGCTAACGTTAAGTTACAGCAACACACGTAACGTAGTAAAGCAAACACTACAGATTTGTTCCGGGTTCATCACAGCACATGTCAAAACCATTCATTAATAACGAATCACTTCACAAATAACTGTAAATATTGCCTTGAAACGCCTCCAGTAACGCGTCGATGTCCATAGCTGTGTCCAGTCACAGGGCAGGAAACAGCTTGCTCGCTAGTTAGCATGTAGCATGTAGCAACCCAACAAAAGCTCTTGGCGGGGGAAGACTCAGACTGCGCATGTCTGATATTACGTATTCACATTTGCGGAAGATGCGTACGTGAGAGATCAACAAAGCACTTGAATGCGCGTGTGGCAACGGAACATGCAGCCATAATTTAAATATCGGGTTGTTGTTATTGCTCAATTACTTATATTTTGAGTTAAAGCATGTGCAGACTTCAGTCACAGAAACTTCTGGATCGCTCTGCTGCGCTCTAGACGTCGCAGGCAGTCAGCTGGGCGTCATCGTTCCTCTTGTTGTTGTGACGGCATAAACCCGGTGAAGCTGATCGGGGTTAATTTTACCTAACGAATCTATATATACGTATAACGGCGTATAACAAGAAAACCTGCTGGCTTTTTCTTTACGAAGTCATTCGGCAACGATGGCAGTTCCAGTAGCTGCATTACAACTGAACACATCCTCCAGCCCGGGTCTGCTGGAGCACAACATCCACATCAGCGACAGAGATTTGGGAAGGATTTCAAGTGACAATGAAAACAACACTTTGCCTTTACATTCTCCGTGGACCTTCTGGCTTGATAGGTAAGACACTGCTTTTTTTATTTATCCCCCCTGTTGTAATATTATTCATCTTTATATAGTGTTAAAACGGTGAACTCTTTGTTGCTGACCTTTTTAATGAGAACAAAGAAGGGACATGACGAATGTATCAGGCCTGCTATATATTGGCCTTTTCAGATCACATATTAACATTATAGATGCTTATAACAGCGAATGTCCGTATTAATAAATCCCATATTAACATTAAAACAAACACTGCTTGATAATGGTGTCAATGCAGCTTTCCAGTCAACTTGTTTTCTCTGTGACCTATAAACGCAAGTCCTCTACTTTGTAAGGATCCTAAAACAATCCAAAAGGGCGTATTTAGGACTAACTGGTAAAACATAATAACTCAACCTGATTTCAGGAAAGGTCAGTTTGACTTCAGCCTTTGTTTCTATTCTTGTGAGCATGGGTGTTATTCTGAGAAACTTGTTGTGTCACTCCTCTTGCCATGGTTCACTGAAACACTTTGTATTCTGTCGAATTGACAGTTATGTAGCTCAAATGTACCATTGCTTTATACAAAGTTCCCAATTTAAAATGACCTTTTCAATCAGAGTTTTCAGAGTTACTGTTAAGCAATCACAGCAGAGTTGAACACAGGTGAAGGTGGGTTACACAATCCTGATCATCCACCATGTTTTCAAATCAGAGGGTGCTGTGGTCAAATGGGGTCAGTGTTGTTTACTGTTTACTGGCTTATTTGTCATCTGATCAACCCCCCCCAAGCTGTCTGGTCAGAGGGGAGCTCACTGAAACATATCTGAGTAATGAAAGGACCTGAGATCTCTACACGCTTGTAATTTTTAAAGAAGCAGATAAAACAAATGCCATTAATTTAAACGTATGTACCTGTTTCTTCTTGTCAGATCCCTCCCAGGAACAACGGCAGCTGAATGTGAGTCAAACCTGAAGAAAATCTACACCGTGGACACCGTCCAGGTAAGAGGCTTTACAGTGTTGGTACGAGAGCAAAGCTCCAGCAGGCACAGTGTTGGTACATTCTGCCACGCTAGGGGTTTTGGGGTTAGGGAGGAGTAGTGGATGTGAGGACACATTTCAATAGCACGTTTCCTTACTTCCACTATGACATGCTGATTTCTTTCCACATTACTGTTGGGAGTTTGTCTTTCTCCCAAATGCGCCAAAACAGTAGCCAAACTTAAATTGAGACACCTATCAGGAGAAACTGAATGCTTTATGCCTCAGTGATGTCTCTGTACTTGAAAGTAAAGAGTATGCAGGATTTAGCAGTAGCATCCCTGCAGTGATACAGGTCAAACCGCACCATCAGCATTACAACGTTCAGCAGCTTTACACATTTTGTTTTCCACCAATAATGTGTGCCATTATGTGATGTACCTTACTAATAAAGAGCTTAGAGAGCTACTGACAACATGTTAAAACAAGTCTGTATACATGGAAACACCTGCTAATTAACATGATATAATAACTGAATTAGTGATTACTGAACTAATTAGCATGGCAGGTTATTTTTTATGTATCGTTGTGTTTATGGCAGGACTTTAAAAAGCTCAAATACCACCTTAATAAATCCTAACCACAACTGTGTTGGATGAGGACTCATGAATGAATGAGTGTGTGTGTGTGTGTGTGTGTGTGTGTGTGTGTGTGTGTGTGTGTGTGTGTGTGGTGTTAAGAGCAATGAGGAAAAGACCTTTGGCAGTGATTTTTCTACCTCGTAACACATGTGAAATATTAACGAGGCCAACTGTCTGCACTCCCTGTGCCAGTAGATGTTTCAATAAAATAACCTGTTTCCTCTCTTCACCACGGCACTGGAGTAGAACTTTTGGAGAGTTTACAACAACATACCCGGCGTCTCCAGCTTGCCATTGAGATGCAGCTATCATCTGATGAGAGGAGAAAGAAAACCGCTCTGGTATGTTTGAATTTAGGATAAATACATGCTCGTGTTTATAGTATTTGAATCTGTTTCAATTTGTGGAATGTTGCCTGCTGGTTTGTAGGGAAGAAGAAAGCAATGCTAAAGGGGGTGTTTGGAAGATGAAAGTACCAAAAGAATGCACTGTGAGTGACATGATCAATATATTTATGTACTATTTGCTTATTGATTATTTACTATTTAACAAATTTGCCTTCATATTAACAGTTTGCTGTATGGAAGGAGTTGCTATTGGCTTTTATTGGAGAGCAATTCAGTGACTATTGTGCCTCAGGTAAATTTCCTGATTGAGTTTTGTGAAAATGCAGTGGCTTTTGCAAGAGTTCGCATTTTTATGTGCAGAATACTGCATTTTCAAATTGCATTCATCTGAGTCTGTGCATCTGTTCTTGCAGACGATGAAGTGGTCGGCGTCAGCGTCAGTGTGAGAGACAGAGAAGACGTGTTTCAGGTCTGGAACGGAAACGCTTCTTGTGCTAACGAGTCAAACATTTTAGGAAGGATCAATGAGCTCCTTCCTCAAATACCTTTCAAAGCAGTGTTTTACAAGCGTGAGTATTTTCTTGGAATATTAATTGCATAGCGGTTTTCAAAAATTGATTGACAATAACGCTATACAACGTGAGTCATTGTTCTTTTTGGTTTATTTCAGCACACGAGGAGCACCACGCTTTTGAGGGAGGTCGAAGACATTAGCACATTTTTGCACGTCAGAACGATATGTACATGTTTTATTGCTTACGAACATGTTTTGGATAATATTTGGGGACATTTTGAAGCAATTGAGTTCATAGTTGCTTACTAAATGATCTTATTTACCTAAAAAATGTTGACCATTACACTTTTCAATCGATTGAATTTCCCATCTGCAGAGCACTGCTGTCATTCATAATAATATCCAAATGTTTTAGTCGAAGGGAAAAACATTTTAGTTTGATTTTATTTGCGGCAGTGTTTGTGTGTTTTATACTTCAACGTTTTTTCAAATCCTCAACCAAAACAACAGATCATCTACATGCCAGATTTTTTAGATGTATTATAGCATATTTTGTGCCATTTCCTGAGCACAGACAAAGCTAGGTCTTTGAATTAAATCTCATTTTTAGATCTAAGAGGAAGGTTAGTTCCACAAAGCAAACCTTTATCTTAACAATGGAATACAAGGCTTTTCCAGTGAACTGTTTTCTCTGTTTTGTTTTGTCACAGCCAAAATACTGTTGCCTAACATAAATATTTAGTATGCTGTAATGCTAATATATGAGCAGAAAGTTGCACATTTTTTATTTCTCCTTTTTAGGATATGAGCGGATTGTAAAAGGAATAGGTTACAATAAAATAACCTCAGTACACAAATCAACAAGAGTAGATGCTGAGACATATATGCAATAATTTCTATTCTGTAGAATTTGCAGTGTTGTGGTTGTCATTTTCGTATCTGCCCCAAATCAAGCACTTTTGTTTCTTACTGTGTGTGTGAGCTGTGATAACTGAGACCAAATCCACTTTGGTTTTGTGTCACCTTTTCTGGTGAAGTGTAAAGCTGTTCTTGTTTCTTTTTCTTGTTGTAACTTGAGATGTGTAGGTGACAGATGTTATGTGATATGTTGTTTTTTTTATCGATTCATCTGACCTGTGTTAAATTGGATTTTTGAAGCCTGCCCTTTCTTAGGGAATATTGGCCCCAGGAAAAATGAACAAACACATAAACATACATAAATCTGTCACAGAGAGGGACACCAGAAGAAGAAGAAAAGATGTGGCTCTAAATGTCACTTTCTTGAGGGATTACTCGGGGCCTATTTCAGTGCATTTGTGCAAATCATGGGTGTGATGCAGCCACTGAAGCAGGGTCAAATCTGAAACAAGCTAGTCAGAAATGGTTTACTATTGCTCCAGCAAAACAAATTTTTGTCTCTCAAATGTATAGCTTTTAAGATGTTTTCTGTGGTAATGTAAAATGCTGTATTTGTATTATTGAAAAAACTTAATCATTTTAGAAAAATATGAGAAATTTAGGAAGTTGAACCATTATACATGAAAGGCACGTTTCCCCTGTTTGTGTGTGTGTGTGTGTGTGTGTACGAGAGTGAGTGAGGGTGACTATTCTATGCCGCATAGAGCAGAGCAAGTACTAGTACTATGATACTGACACAGTTGAGGTCATTTATATGTAGCTATGGGGTATGCATTGAAACCCACAGAAGGACTGCTGCTATGATTTGTCAATCAAATCAAATGAGTGTTTTCGATGCTGGAGTCTTGCCTTTGATTTGCTGCTATATTCACAGGAGGAGTTAGTTTTCAGACCTCCGACTTTGCCAAACTTCATTGTCCCTTTTATTCAGCTGTACTTCATGTAATATAAGCACATAATGTAGGATAAGAGAGTACTGTACCCTTGCACATATACAGTCTATCAGTCGCTTCGGATCTCAGAATTTGTCACTGATTGTTGATCTTGGATGGTGCCTTGTGTTTACCAGCAGTTTAGAATGTCGCCTGTGTTCAGCATGTTGAAATTGTATATAGTCATGATTCTCGTTAGTTTAAAACGTGTTTGAAAAATAAAGACGCCGAAACTACTATTTCTTACTGTTTGGAATACTTACTGTATATGTCTGATGAGAATATCAATATTGCACTGAATGAAAAGCAGCATATTACATTGGACCTTTTAGACCAGTTGTTCTACAAAAGATTTTCAGGTCTTTGTCCTCAGGCTGTTCATTGTCAGTAAATCCTTCAAGGTCTGCTGTTAGATTCCAAGATACACAAGCCTACATGAATTTGGTAATTTTTCATTTCTTCCAGGTAGAGTTTTGCATTGAATAAAATGTAAGATAATATAAAATACAAATTCGGGGGAGTTTTTTATGCAGCAGATATTGCACAAATTTTAATAAATGCAACTCTTTCTATAGCCAACGGAACAACATTGACGGTGGATTTTAAACTGAGGCACTGAATGGCATTAATAGGCTAATGCCCTTAATTTAATGTAGGAATAGGAGGCGACCATTTAATGGCGGCCAGAAGGAGAATGTCTCCCTCTTGCGGTTGTGAAGGCAGAATGAGAATGTCTCCCTCTTCCCTCGTGAAGGCAGTCTTGTCCTTACAATGACTGTAATTGCACGTAATTATATAATTACATAAAGATAAGTAGTTATTGCAGTAACCAATGCTGCACTTGGATCAGCTTGCCTTTCTATACCAAACATGTTCACAATATGGAGGAAAATATGTATGATGAGTGATACAGGGAGACATTTTTTTGCACATCTGCCTTGGCACTGGACTGAGAAGCCTCCCTGCGAGTGACAAATCTTTTTTTTAAACTATGCATTATATCAAATCTCACATTGTTGTTATTGTTCAGTTTTTTTCTTATTTTAAATGGGAACAATGCAAGTTTTGCTTATAACTAATAGAGGAATCCATTTGGCATATAATCTGTTATTTTTACCTTTCCTATAAAAAGGATAGAGTTACTTTTTGGGGGAGTGGGGGGGGGGGGGTCTTTGGCTAAACGCCATAATTTATGTAATCTGAAAATCTAGTACGTGACGTCACCTGTGTTTACTTTTACATTAGCCACGCCCTCTGCTAGCAATTTGTGGCTAGCTCGCTACCGAGGAGGAAGGCAGTGCTCCCGAGATCTGCTCCTCAGACACCACCCCGAGTCAAAGACTGCCGGCCCCGTACACAACTCGGTGAGTAAACGTTGATTCAACAGCATGCTGGCACTCACCGGATGATTGTTAGAGTATAATTTAGATTAATTGTGAAATTGCCGAGTGAGAGGAAGAGAGGAACGGTTCTTACAAGCTAGCGTAAGGAAAGGTTGCTAGCTTTTGTTGTGCTGTTGACGACAACATTAAGCGTCTCCCGCAAGGTTGGTCGAAAACAGTTTTCCAGGCTCGCTGACATAGGTTATTAAAGACAGCGGATATATAACACTATCTTATCTATGTATGTTAATATATTAACTTGTAACCCCCCTGTATTCTCCGCAGACATGCCCAGTTTAAAGCTCAAGTTCTCAACGCAAACCTTCAGACTGCAAAGGTTTAACGGATATCGAGTCCATTCACATGAAGCTAACGTTCAGTCAATGATAGTCAACCCGCATTTCTATTATCAACTAAACTACCGTGGCCGTCAGATAACGTCCATTCAGAGATGTAGGTGTATTGATTTAGGAGTTGATTGGAGGGCGACATTGTTTTTTCTGGAGGCTACGTTAGGTGTAGCGCTAAGTTAACTTAAAACAATATGTGATTGTAAATGATCGCCTTGACAATTATTAATCGGACAGAGGAGACTAAAACAATGTAGACTGAAAGCTAGACCAAATAAATGTTTAAGTGCGTCACAAATTAGAATCGCGTCACAAATTAGAATGTTGATTAACTATTCAAGTTGTAATATGCTTTATAACATTGGCATGATAATAGGGGGACATGTAACAGTGGTGTTTCTTAATTGGTTGTGATACGTCTTTCTTTAATGCTAATATTTCAATGCAACTGCAGCAACAAACTGTAGGCAATTGATTATCATGGACACAATTTGTCCTTATAGTTGATCCGAAACTGTGTGGTCTGCAGTATCGACACATGCCAATTTAAACATAACGTTTATTCTGATAAGCTGTGAGAATCTTGTGGATTCCTGTGAAACCATTTGTCAAAAAGTGCATTCTTCAGAGAGAGAGCGTGTATATTGTTTACTCGTTCGCTCTTGCTGGGCCTCTTTGCAGTGTTTCCTCTACATTCTTTGAGGAGTGGTGCCCCTCACCGCCCCTGTGGTGGGAACTCTAAATAAAGTAAAATAAAATTCATCGTGGGCTTATTGACACAATCCATCCTGAAAACAGTTTCCCAGCAGCTGTTGACTGTTCAATTATCATATTCCCACAGTATTCAGATAATATCTGTTTTTGGAATAATGCATAATGGAACTAATGTGGAATGGACCCAGTCATCACCCTGGTTCATACAACCCAAATCTCCCCCTGACGTCTTCAAAAATGTGTACAGGAAACACTGCCCTTTGTCTTTAGAACTAATCCTGATCCTGAAAGCAAAAGTAAACACAGTGGAAACCTCATCAGCAACTGCCTGTTTTGATTAGATAGGTTTTAGGTTTACATTGGAGGAGTCTCCTCAGTTTCCACCACCTACACACATTGCTGTAGCCAGACACAACTTACCATTCATTCTTCATGTATTCGTCATTCTCAAAGGCAGGAAACGCTGTTTGTCTTTAATGTGTTTGTAGCTGACCGTTGGTACAGTTCTTGGTCTTGAGGGGAAGGTAAATCAGATCCTCTGTCAGATGTTGCCCAAATGTTGATGTTGGCTCTCAATGGTGCTTAACTACTTGATTGATTTACAATATTGATTTTAATATGTGAATGTAGTCGGGCTTACACTTGAGGCTACGTGGCCTGTTTCATTTGAGGCTTCTCTGTGTAGCTTTCCATCTGCTCACATTATTTGTTTGCCTTCTTTATTTACCTTTGTTTATGCTGCTTAGCTTTTGACTCAAACACACCCAAGCTGTATACATAAAAGCCTACTTGTGCATTGTACTACCTGCCACAGCCGTTTATCGCACCACCTGGTTAATGGTAAATTGTTCCAGAAGGAAGATATGTTTGCACATAAACACGGACCCAGGGCCCCTGTGTTTACAGTAGTCATGGCAGCACTAGGTTATTCAACAAATAGACCTAGCATCTTCCTCTCTCACTTGTTGAAGAGAATGTTTGTCTTGGTGGGTCGAGCTATAACAGTGTAGTTCTTAATTTTCAATTCAGTTTTAACATTCCAGACAAGTTAAGTTTCTTTAACATAGTGACTGAATACGTTATTGGTTGATTTGAGAGGCTGTCACATATATTTTTATCACCGTGTGAATTAAAAGGCTTGTCAAACACACCCAGATATTTTGGTATTGTTTATTGCCTGTGCGTCATGATGTTGTACTGCTTTGTCTGGTTGGTTTCATGTAAATGTATTTCCTTTCTCAGCTCAGTGAAGTCCAGATGCATGAGTCTGGGTCAGAACCAACAAGCCACATCATTCCAGCCAGTCACACAGAGAACGGGAATAACTGTGAGAATGAGAGTCGAGTGAGGAGCAGCCAGACTCCTCCTCCAGAGGCACCGAGGGTTAGTCTTTTTATTTATTTATTACAAATATTGTGATATATTTAGTGCCAAGTCTTCGCATTTTCCACTAAAATATGGAACAATAAATGATGCTGAAGTTGAAATGGTTTGTCAATTAATTGATTAGTAGTCAAAGCAGCTTTTTTGATAGTTGCTTCTTTGCTCGAGTCCTCTTTCGAGCCGAAGCGTCAGAAATATCCCGTCTCCAGCCTTATTAATGTGAAGATGTGCCGCTTTTCATGTTTTACATTCTAGTTAACAGGATGCCTTTTGCACTTTGGACTGTTTGGAACAAAACAGGTCATTTGAAGAGGTCCCCTCGTACCACCTGCATGGTTTTTAACTATTCTCTCACATTTACTAGATTGACTAGATGCATAGCTGATAGATTAATAATAAATATAATCTTTAGTTGCATTCATATTACATATTTGTTCTCGGAGTTTTTCTGCTCGCAATGTAGTCAGATCTATTACATTATTATAGGATATTGCTGGTATTATTATTATTCGAAACATTTTCCCAAAACATTAAAGATAAAACAATTCTATGGTGGCATTGAAAACAAGCAACACGTATGTTTGTGTATGACAGGATCTTTGACTGCCTTTGTGATTGGAGACAACCAGCTCCTCGGTTGTGAAGATTGGCTGCATGTGATTGTAAACTGAATATCTTTGGGTTTTGGACTGTTTGTTGGACAAAAACTACCAATTTTATGGCAATTTTGGGCTGCAGCAAACTGTGGTGGACTTTTTATTAAGCAAAATATTAATACAAAAATTGTCTGATTCATACATAATGAATAGTTAGTTGGCGTCCTGAAGCAAAAGCTTCTTTTTTTTTTTTTTTTTGTAGTTGAGTGCGGTTCTATTAACAGCTGCATAGGGGGCAAGTGTAAACGTTTGTCCTCAACACTAAAAATATGCTTTGCAACTGATGCAGCTGCTTTTTTACCTCCAAGTGTGAATCACAATTAGTTCTGGTGCATTTGCATTTATGTACAGCTGGTCTGGTATCCAAACATCATGTCTTTTCTTGCCAGTATTCATAAACATGGGGCAGACAGCACACGGTCACATGAGAATGTGGGGTACTTTGTTTCGCTATTTTTTTTACCTGTGACGGTATCACTTTGAACATCTCACTTTGAATGTCTCAGTTTCTCCAAACTGTAGTTTGTGTTTGTGCTGAAGGGGAACACAGGGGTGGGGGGTGGGGGGGGGGGGGGGGGGGAGGGAGAGCACAGCTCCTGCTGGGCGGAGGGATCAGTGTTATGGTGTTAGTTGTGTTCACGCTCACATCATGTAGGTTAACGAAGACTGTTGTTGCAGTGCTAAAACAGACGATCAGGTTTGTCCTTCTCATTCTGTTTGCTTGTATGACAGTGAGCTATTTTGAATCCCGTTTTTATTATTTAGCATAGTTAAAACGTGTCAATGAAAACGTCACATTTCTGTGGTGATTGTATTGTGTGATTTCATATTTTTTTAGATATCCTCACATTCACTCTTTACTTGAGTTTGTTTCCTTGGGCCACACCCATCAGAGCGTATTATTAAGTCTCATAAGGGAAAGCAGACCGTGTTTGTTTTTCAGCCATGTTTTCAGCGCTCCTATTTGCTGTCAGTCATCTCGGAGTTCACAAGACCAGTCTTGCGGGAACAGATCTGTGTTTACACTCGGTCGCTCGCTGGTATGACTTTCAACAATAACAACAACAGAAGATGTTTGGACTTGCTGGCTGCCATGGTAACAGGGATTAGGCAGAGGCTGTTGTTGTGTTGATGGTGTCCACAGAAAAACAGAGGGGCCAACTGGCTCTGTTTGTGGGACGGACCTGTTTTGGTTGCTTTGGTGGCCACCTCTGGAGCATTGGATCTCATAAGAAAGGACAAAGTAGGAGGCAGTCGTCTGCGATTGTTAGCCCAGAGCCTGTGTGAAAGCCGCTGTCGGCTTGTTTACCCGATTCAAAACAGACTCTGCCTCGGAGAGAAATGTTTGTTTGTGGTTCAGACCTTAATTAAAATACGAATCTCGAGTTCTGTTTTCACAAACAGGCTCTGTATGCTTTTTTTAAAATTCATTATTTATGTCTGTGCAATTTTGATTGCTCTGTTTATGTTTACTGTAAACAGCCCTTGAGCTGTGGGGCTTGACAGGGAGGGGGATGGTGTGGTAATTGCTGCCTGCCTCGCAGAGGATGTTGTTGTTGTTTTTGCAGTACTGGTGGTTGTTGTTGTTGTTGTTGTTTTGATGGAGTTCTCATTCCCCTAAGACATCCAATGTTGTTGTTGTTCATTTTTAGCAGAGATGGCAGGAGGACCAAGTTCACATTGTTAGGTTGACCAGTGAACTGAGAATAATACATAAGCAGCAACTATCAGTTATAGGAGTAGAGCTGCAACAATGCATTGATTCATTGTCCACTGAAAATATAAGTGGCAATTATTTTCATCGTCATAGAATCGTTGCTTTAGTCATTTTTGTAAACCACAATGTCAAAAGAAAGACATTTACATTGGACAACATGTTGACATGCACTTATTACTGATTACTGCAAAGCTTTGGTACAACACATGTACTTGTACACATGTACACAAGTACACATGTAATGTGTACTTTGGGCACATGCACATGTGTTAAAGGGTGTTGAGATTCTACCATATTAACCAAGGCAGACGTATATTAGGTTTGACATCGGAGCACTTGGACCGACGGTGCTGTTGAGCGAGAAAACAAAGGTGTGTGTGTGTGTGTGTGTGTGTGTGTGTGTGTGTGTGTGTGTGTGTGTGTGTGTGTGTGTGTGTGTGTGTGTGTGTGTGTGTGTGTGTGTGTGTGTGTGTGTGTGTGTGTAAAAATCACTGTTAACCTCTTGTTAAAATCACTGTAAAAACTCTGTATATACATACATGAAGAAGAATGTTACTCCAGCAGAAATGTAGCCGTGTCTCGTCATCCTTTACGCTTATTAAAGAGATAAGGTTTCTCGTTGACATGTAAACGCACTGATTGTCTGCACTAGAATGCAGCCCAAGAAGATGGAATGAAAGTAGCTTGCACGCATATACACACACACACACACCCAAAACAGCCTACCTATGTTGTATATAATTAACATTTTGTATGTGTTTGTCCGCTACGATGCAGGTTCCAGTATCATTACCTATGATGACCCCACCAGCAGAGGCTCCTCAGCAGTTGCAACAGACACCACAGCAGCAGGTCCTCAGTCCTCAGCAGCTCCAAGCGCTGCTCCAGCAGCAAAAAGCACTCATGTTACACCAGGTAACATTAAGTCTGTTGTAGTCACGTGTTCTGCATAGCCCACATCAAACACACAGAGCTTTTATTTCTTTAAACTCAAAATCTCATCAACATTTCTGCAGCAACAAATTCAGGAGGTCTTCAAGAATCAGCAAGAGCAGCTAAATATTCAGCTGCTGCAACAGAAGAATGCTGGGATTGTTAGTCAAGAGGTAACTTTTCTTTTTACACCTTTTCCTGTGATGTATGTTTGATTTCTCTCTATTTCATCTCCTTTTGTAAAGTGTCTCTGACTTTCTTGAAAAGTGCTTCCTAAGTAAAATGTATTAGTATGTTTTTATCAGGTCACGAATATGTGATCATTGTAGCAATATTCATCATGCAACAAGGGTAGTTCATTCTTGGAGGAGAGACAGGTCTGATTCAATTCAGTCGGACTAAAGCTTACTTGACGTATGGCGTAAGTATTTAAAATTATAGTAATTATTATAACCACTTGCTCATACCGCACAGCCTGGAATATCACTTTCAAAGTGTCCAGTTTCTCTGTGACTAACACGTCAGCTTGTGTGCATGTATTTGCGTGATATCATCAATTAACTGAGATGTATAACACATAGTACGCACTTGGCAGAGTGCAAAAGGAAGCAGGTGTTGGAGACGAGGAAAAATAATTAGATACGTTGTGAGCAGAAATGTGCTCGACGGCGTTTTCATCCAATTAGATGAAAAAAACAAATTGGGCATTCCTTCCATTAGTTCTATTGGTTAGTGTTTGACCAGCAGAGGATATTCTGATAAAAAATATCTCAGCACCAGACACTGCTGAAATAGATTTAAATAGGTTTCTTCTTTAGATAGCTAACATTAGCTCATTTCATTATCTTCCTACTTTAAGTGATTGGCAGCACCTGTCCTTATGGTCAGTGAGACAGATCCTTGTGTGAGCCACATTCACCATCCCTCAAAATATTTCCACTGTGATGTCTAGTGGTCCTGCACATTCTTTATCATACCGTCCAAGCATTGATTTATCTTAAACAAAGGTTTATTTCGTGAATCAAACTGTGGACAAGTTGTATTCAAGCTGTATTCAGTATGAAGAACGGAGGAAGGCGTTTACTGACGGACGTTGTGTCGTCTCTGTGTCGCAGCTGACGGCCCAGCAGATTGCCATCCAGCAGCAGCTTCTTCAGGTGCAGCAGCAACATCTCCTCAACCTGCAGAGACAAGGCCTGCTGTCTGTCCTCCCCACCAGCCCCATGGCACTCACAGGTACGCTGCGTTACAGCCCCACTGCATTGCTGGTTGAGGACTTAATCACTTGAAATACTCTCAGGTGACAACACTGAGGCAAGGGGTATGTAGGGGGCATGTAAACTCTCAAACATTGGGCCTCATGCAAGAACCATTCAAACGAACAGTGTTCTCTTAGGTATGAACTCCATTTATGAGTGGTCCAGACCTGTCGTAGGAGTCCTGTGCAATTAGTCTACTGTTATCCACTAATGGATTGAATATTTCATTACTTTGAAGCCAGGACTACAATATAGGTCGTATGGGGCAGGATGCAGAGCCTTATATGGTATTATTGGGGCGTTAATTATGCAATTTACAATCCCCATAAGGCACGCTCATTTATGCATAGGTGGCAATCATCATGTGTACGTTGGTCATTAACAGAGTCATCTGAAGTTAGGCGTGTTTGCTGTATCTGACGTGGCACACTCACACGAGCCCATCCTTTGAAAAAAAAAAAAAAAAGTAAGAGAAAGTAAAGATAAGAATATGAAAATGTTCTTGCAAGAGATCTATTGAGCCTTGTATTTGTTATACTGACAAATTTTCATCATACCGTACCATGAATGCTGCTGTAGCGAAAACATTTCCCCTTGCGGTATTAATAAAGTATCTATCTCTCTATCTTTATCAATGAAAGTGACAAAAACACCAGTTCAACAGCATCACAAACAGAGTCCTTCAGAATGATCATGAAGTTGAGTCGCCTCTCTAAAACAGTTTCCACACAAACTGAGCGTTATTGCCGTCATGCAGATAGGATTTATCGCAGGGCTGTTCAATCAGACTGAGCTACTTTTGACGTAGCTGTACCTAATAAACTCGCTGTGTATACTCCGGTCTTATGATCTTAAGCTAATTTGGTTAGCAATTACAAAGGGGCTCATGCAAATGTAGTGGCGCCTCAGTGTGTTGTAACACAACGGTTTATTTGCATTTCAGGCTGTGAGAATGGCAGCATCCTGTCTGCTGGTGGAGACGCCAGAGAGTCCTCCAGTCAACAATCTACCACCAACGGCCATCACGCTCTCCTGAAGAGGACAGAAAGGTGCGTTAGCGAATGATACTGTTGTTTCTATGTATCCCGTCTTGAGCAGCACCAACACGTTGACCCTGAGATGTATCATTGACGGTTGGTTTGTTCTTGTTGCAGAGGGTCGCTGGATGAAAACACACAGAATAGCCATGCACTGTATGGAAATGGGATGTGTAAATGGCCTGGCTGTGAAACTGTCTTTGGAGACTTTCAGGCATTTCTCAAGTGAGTGGGGAAACTTTGCACACCATGATCTAGTATATATGGGGAAGAAATGTGTATGTACTGTATACACAGGAGCTGTAAATGTCACCTTTTAATCAGAGCCTGCAGTCAGAATTCATAAAGCGTTATTTCCTCTTATCATACTGTATTTTCCTATTTCTGTGGTGTAACGCTCTGTGTTGAATCTTCATGTTTTTCATGTTGAAATTAAATAATTCTTGAGTTCTAATTATTTTAGCATGTTTTGCTCTTAGCATGTACAACACATGGTTTCTCTAAAGCGTGCCGTGACTCTGAATGTGCTTTGTCTGCAGACATTTGAACAGTGAACATACACTGGATGACAAGAGCACGGCGCAGTGCCGTGTGCAGATGCAAGTGGTTCAGCAGTTGGAACTGCAGGTACGCATTTGATCTGTTTTCTTTACGACCAATATTTCATTTTTTTTAAATCGCACAACAAAAGGGACGAAACATCTTTGATTTATTAACAGCACTTCATTGTACACGTATAACTTAACAATTATTAAGTAGAATGGAGTATTCAGTCCTTTTCCTTAACTGTTGGAAGAAAGAAGAGGAACTCTGACAGTGAATGCATCACAGATTTCTAGCAGTGGTGTGTTTTCACACCACTGCTAGAAACAGAAGTGATGTCTTTAGATAATTACACTTTTGAAAGTGCCAGAAACCGACACCGACTGTCATTTAACATGCGCCGTGAATTCACCAACTCTCAACTTCTATTTCTGTCTTGTCATCCATCACAGTTGAGAAAGGACAAAGAGCGACTGCAAGCTATGATGGCTCATCTGAAGTCCTCTGAACCCAAACCCGCAGCACAGCCTGTAAGTACCTGCTGTGGCTGTTTCCTTCAATTAGAATAAAATATTGTTTTGCTTGTGGTTACGCTGTTGTTGTCGTCCTGACTCAACCGCTTTGTTGTTGTTTTTTCCAGGTGAATCTGGTGTCGAATGTGTCCTTCTCTCAGGCAACATTGCCCAAAGCCTCGCCTCCTATGAGTTTGTCTCAGAGCGCTACGGCTCCATCCACACCCATGACGCCACTCTCTGAATCCCCTTCAGTCCTCACTCCCAATAGCATGTTCACTGGAGCCCCTGTGCGGCGGCGATATAGTCGCTCAGTGAGCCAAGGTAACGGTGAGATCATGAATTTTAACTTCTTTAAAAAAAAAAAAAAAAAAAAAAATTGAAGGTTTTCGAGCTGAAGCTTCTGCAAAGATGCGCCTAAAGATAATCTCATAGGGCCACAGAGAAGGGGCGTATTTTCTTATTCACAATCATATTCATATTCTTGTTTATTGTATACTGCTTCTCTTTTCCACGATTCTTTGTTACATTTTTATTCTGTATATGTTTATGTTTAAATATTGCTTGTTAATGTCTTTCCACAGATATAGTTGATAATAAGGAGTTCTACTTGAGCACAGAAGTTAGACCTCCATTTACATATGCGTCTCTCATAAGACAGGTATTTGCTGATGTTACACAGTCACAAAAATATTAAAATCTTGTTCTACTGCCATCCTAATCTAAATGAAGCAGATCCACGTTTGTTATTGCAATCATTTCTTACACGCTCTCTCTCTTTGTTTCAGGCGATATTTGAATCACCTCGCAATCAGCTGACATTAAATGAAATCTACAACTGGTTCACAAGAAACTTTGCATATTTCAGGCGCAATGCAGCTACCTGGAAGGTATGAGCTGTACTACAGTTTCAATGTCTTTGGATATTATGACATGAAACGGGAAAAGTCTATGGAAACATTTGGTCGTATTTATGTTTTAAATGTACAAATGCAATGTAGAAGTCCTGATATTATTTCTTTCTTTAAATCTTCCAGAATGCCGTCAGACATAATCTCAGCCTCCATAAATGCTTTCTACGTTTGGAGAATGTGAAGGGAGCTGTGTGGACAGTTGATGAGATTGAGTTCCACAGGAGAAGGCCCCAGAAGACTGCCGGTAGCGGGTAGGTGTCGGACATGAAGCCGGAGCCCTGTGTGTGTGTGTGTGTGTGTGTGTTTTCAGATAGAACTAGACGTCAGATAAGCCTGACATTATTGACCTTCTAGCTCCGCCTAATAAGTACACACAGTATTTACTGTAAGCAAGTTTCGTAGGCTAAGTCTGAGTGTTCTACAAACAAAATTAGATTCAGCGTGTTCACACAAGCAAATGGGAACAAAGTGGCATTCCACAAAACCTCAATCGCTCTGACACACCGGGATACTGTCGGCAGGTTTATGGTATCGATGCTAAATGCCTTCGTGAATGTTTTAGTTGGCTTGTGTCATTACTTGCCACGGTTACTCAAACCTCTGACTTTCTATTAAACAAAGAGACCTGGAAGTGCGTATGTGTGTGTGTGTTGGCAGCAGTTTGAGGATATCCGACTAAGCCTTGCCCTTCTTCGTTACTGTTGCTACGCTGTCTTTTTTTCCCAATCTCGCACGGCACATATGCATGTCGTGATTATATGACGTCTGCAGATTTACCTCTTGAAATTCTAAAAGTTGGTTAAAATACATTCTTATGCAGACTTTTTAATGTTTGCAACTGACCTGTTTTAAAATGGGTTTAAAATATGCATTTAATGGCTCCACGCATGATATTGTGTTAAAAGAATAAAGTAAACTGAAGAAAAAATAAAGAAACTAACTTAAATATAACTTTTTCTTTCTTTCTCTATACTTATAGGTCTCTGCTGAAGAACTCACAGAACCATCAGAGCTTAGCCGGGTCTGCTCCTCAGGTTAATATAATGAATCTATATATATATATATGTGTGTGTATATACACTAATATAACATGAGGCATTGATGCAGTGTTGTAATGAGAATGTTAACTTTTTCAGAGTGGTGGTCTAGACGGCAACAACTCTCTCTACAACCCGGCCTTCATGGGCAGCATCCCATTTCACTCCCTGCCCCATGTTCTCCAGGAGCAGATGAACGGAGCCCTTGCTAATGGATCTGGATACCAAAGTGACAGCAGTGCAACACAGTCCCCTCCTCAAGCTTTGTGAGTGTCAGCTCCAGAGCTACCTTCCCTCTGCTGAGCTGTGATTGAATGTAATTATGTGATAACAAGTCCTGATTACATGTTTTTCTTCTTCTCCTCTGTATGTTCACAAACCAGCATTAAAGAGGAACAGGAGGACGAGGAGATTTGTGAAGGTTATCCCTATGAATCCCCGGAGAGCACAGACGAGCATGGCCACAGCCCAGAGATGAACCACGATGAGGACAACGGCAGCCCGGAGAGGCACAACCTTCACATCGACCGCGTGCCTTCTCTCTGACCATGAGGCCCAAGTTCTCCACTGCAAGGCCGCCTCACTCACAGCCTGTGTGACTTTGTATTCCAAAAGTTTCCTAAAACAACCGCTTCATCTACTTAACCAAACACTCTCTTCTTGGGGGAATTTTTTTTTATCAGCATTTCTTATTATTTCTTCTTATTCTCAATTATTTCTGTAAAGTAGAGTGAGATCATAAAAACACATCTGTTCATGATTTTTATTTTTTGTGTGTGTGTGTGTGTGTGTGTGTGTGTGTGTGTGTGTGTGTGTGTGTGTGTGTGTGTGTGTGTGTGTGTGTGTGTGTGTGTGTGTGTGTGTGTGTGTGTGTGTGTGTGTGCGTGTGTGTGTGTGTGTGTGTGTGTGTGTGTGTGTGC